TCATTGGTAATGACTAAGATTGTACTCAGTCAGAACTGCAAAGCTATATAATAGGAAAGAATTTGTGAGCATTATCGAAAAATATAGTGCACCCTGAAATGTACTGACACAGGCACACAACAAGGGTGAATATATGAATGTAGGCCGGTAAGATTATTTCATATTTATGTAAACAATGGACATATCTCAGAGATATATTTTTACAGACCGCCATACCTTGTACAAAAATGACATGTTATATTAATACATGTAGGCTATTAAACTGCAGTTATCAAGTTAATATATGCAGACAACAATCGCCAATCCACACTGTCGTCTGTCGCTGGGTTATTAACTGCATGGGTTCAATATGGCAGGTTGCTATGGGAAATATCTTTACATTATAAAGTATAAACAACATTCAGCGTTTGTTTTTAAAACGTTCTGAAAGCAAATTGCTATGTCTATGAACATCTAGAATGAACACTAAACTCATCGCATTGGCACATCGCCACACAAACAAATATAAAACCAAAAGTACATCATTTTGATTCCTAAATATATTAAAAAGACGATCTATTGTTTCAAATACCTCATATCGAACGCTAAACATCAGATCTAAATATAAATGCCTTCATGTAACATCACCAGAAAGAAATAAAGCTATCCTTACCTGAATTATTCAAAATATTGTCGATTTGTGAAAATCCAACATATATCATGCGAGCGCAATACAAAATAAATTTTGACCGCCCCCCTCGTTTAAAAAAACTTCCTGAAGCCTTAATTATTTCCCCGGAATTACGACATCTTTACAAACAGACAGAAACAAATTCTCAAATCGAAATCTCGATCGACTATACATAACTCGGCCAAAGAGACTGGACACAAGTAAACGCAGACACGCAATACTTCATGTTAAGAATAGTGTGCTGCCTTCGGCAGCAAATATCCTCTAAATTGCAATATTTCTTTATAAAAATGACTCTACTGACCTTCGATACTCAGATTATGAAGATTTATTTCAATTTCTTCCACATTTCCGTCCATTTCAAGTTTAATTAAAAAAATGTCAAACAAAAGTTTGGTTCAAAACCATACTTTTTTTGCATTATGTGGCAGAGCCTCCTCGCCTTCATGTCAACTTTCCATCACTCCGCTCACTTCTATTCAGGAAACTTCGTGTAAGTTATTCGTAAATACTTAAGAAGGCTCCGCGGAGAGAGAGAGCACTAAATACTGAAAAGGCGTTAGAAATCAGTAAAATGTGACGTTGGATTGTTCAGAACGTGAACTTTAATGAATTTCAAACAGCTTTGTCAGATATGAACATGCAAATCACAATTCAACAAAATGTCCGTTTTTGAATGTCAAACAATTTCAGAAAGTATCCAAAAAATAAAGCAAGAAGAATTCAAGGACTTTCAAGTACATTTTACAAATTCCAAGGCATTCAAGGCCTTGAATTTTCAAATTTATTTATTTATTTATTACGCTTTTCCAAATCAACTTAAAATCACTTGCTATACAACATTAACATAAACGATACATACATTGACATGGCTGGGTCAATGATACAGCTTTCGATACAGCTTTCGCCAATTACAGTGACCCTTTACACAATACAAGACAAACTTTAAAATATCGGAGGTTAAAAGAAGAACATCTCACCAATTTCTTCTTATACACAAATTTGTGTATATTCAAGCTTACTAAATTTATACCATGCAGAATATTTATATTTTAATCGTTTTTCAAATATTCAAACTGGTTTTAAACACGGCTCACAGAGAATTCTGCTTCTTCCTCCAAAAACTAACAACAGCACGATATGGGACAAGACAGGTTACGAGACGCATTACAAGACAAACGTATAGATTTCCAAGTTCGAGGATCCTCTGCGTTCTAAACATTTCGTAAGGCAGATTTATAGTGTTTCAGAAGTCCGCTTTTAAATCCGTTAAATGTAGTGTTTTTATCTGTCAAGTCTTTTGGTAAAATGTTCCACACTCTCGTTGATCTCGTCGGGAATGACTTCTGGTATGTTGTGGTCTTGCATTTTTTTGTTGTAAACATCAAACAGTTCGGATCAGCAGATCTTGTAGCTCTTTCTCTATTCCGGATTGTTGGTAGTAGGTCGTTGTTAATGACTATCATCTCATGAGTGCATTTGAAGAAGAAAATCATATCAAGAAATTCGTGCCAGTAACATAGAGGAGGAATCATATCTAGCATATCAAGTCTCTGGTTGTAACTGACCTCGCAGAAGAAAGGAAGATCCAGAATGTACTTGGTTGCTCGCTTTTGTACTCTTTCCGTGTGCTTAATCAAGTTGACTGATTGGGGAGCCCAGACCTGAGAGCCATAACATAGTTGAGAACAAACAAGGGACAGATATAGGGTGCGACGAACGGAGGTAGTTTTTATGTCAAGTGTTGATCTTCTTATATATCCTAACATCTTACTTGCTTGTGTGCATTGACATTCAACATGTTTTGACCAGGTAAGGTTAGATGTAGTCCACACTCCCAAATCACGTTCAAACTCTGTGCTTTCTAAGACATTGTTATGAAGCTTGTAAGGGTGTTCTATCTTCTTCTGCTTTCGGGTAATTCTTAGAATTTTGAACTTTTCAGCGTTAAGTTCCAGGTTGACATTGCTGGAGCACACTTCAAAGTTCGTAAAGTCTTCCTGTAGCGAGGATGCATCGATATGGAGTTTATGGTTCTGAAGATCTTCGTATCATCTGCAAAGGTGGCGATAGTTGAATTGTTCACGGTGTTGGGGAGGTGGTTTTCGTACAATCGGAACAACAATGGGCCAAGTATCGAACCTTGCGGCACTTCGGGTGTTACGGCTAACGGTCTTGATGTTGCTCCATGAACCGTTGTTTGCTGACGACGATTACTGAGATACGATGAAAACCAGTTCAGGATGTTTCCTCGAAACCCAAATTCGCGTAGTCGATGTAGAAGCTTAGTATGACTTACTTTATCAAATGCCTTCGACATATCTAAATAAATCACGAACTCAAGCAAATTCAAGGACATTCAATGACTTTCACGTTTTGTACGAACCCTGATTTACTGCTTGTATTCAAAAGATAGGAAATAGTTTTGTCTTCACGAAACTCTAGCAAAACGTTTAAAGAAAATTACTAGTGTAAAAGGAAAAAGTGCTGAAATTCACTAAGTACTGTAAACAAAATCACGCAGCGAATATAAAGCGTTGCCAAGCTTCAGCCGTTTCCTTATAGTAAACACTTCTCTTTTCCCTATTTATTCCTATTATTTTGGCAGACATTTCCCCCGCCATTTCCGTATGCTCGCGCACGCGCTTTACGTTTGACGGCGGTGTTGACATACATAGTACTGACTACCTCGTATCCAGGCGCTGGTCTTGCATTGCAAGTACACTCTTCCCATCGGCCCCTTTGCCTTCTCTCGCCACTACAATACTTCATGTAAATTCGTCACACGCGCTTTTTAGGATAAAGGGCGGATGCGGATACAGAGAAGAACTGGATATGGGGATAAAACGCGGAGCGGATATGGGGATAAAACGCGGATATTTGAAATATTTTTAATACATTTTTTAAAAATATTTTTTGATATTTGCCCTTTGGTTTATTTCCCATGTCCGTTGTTTCAGATTACATTAAAATCGCCGAATACAACGCGCCTCTAATTAGGACCGATTACCTGTAAAGTGTGATAAAGAGTGATTGTCACTTATGCTGTTGTTTTTGTTGTTGTGGTATACGACAATTGTGGACAATATTACAAATTACTCTGACCACACGACGTTGAGATTTTCTCAGTCAACTTCCTCATCAAGCTGCGAAGTTAATGAGGAATGCCATACAGGGAATGTGTACTCCGGGCGAACAAAGGAGCAGTAGACAGAGCCCGCAAGCCGTTTGCAGGGACGCCACTACGTCGCAACGTTCGTAAAGCATAAAGACGTTTGTTCGCTTTAGAGTCAGGTTGGACCCCTTTATCAGTCAGGTGGACTCCCAAAGCAAGAGGTTAATGGTGTGGACCAGTTCAAGCGGTTGGTTGTTAACGGAAAGGGGCTGTAACGAAGGCTAACTCTTCGTGAAAGTCAAAACGAGTCAGTGATACAATTACACGGTGGATTTGGCCCGCCGTTTTAGTGAATTGTTGGTACAAGGTCTCAGATATAATTGCAGGAAATTATTTTGTAAAGAGAGGCCGCCGCAGAACTTCGTTTCAAAGATAACACAAAGAAGAAGTACCTTCGGAGCTCTAGGGATTTCTTCCAATTTCACTAAGTACTGTAAACAAAATCACGCAGCGAATATAAAGCGCTGCCAAACTTCGTTTAGGTACCGCAGCCACACAGGGACAATAATTGTTATATTTAAGGAGGCTCCCTACAGTTGCCCCTGAAGCTCATTTAACGGAATTATTTAGACGTAATTCTCGCATCTCGCGCATGGAATACAGTTAGACAATTCAGTTAGACAATTTTTGTGTTTATCTGGGAAAGAAAGATTCCAGGGATTTTTTTAAATCCTTCGTAATCCGAATTTAAAAAGTACGTATGTTGTTATGTTTTTCACCTAGACCAGAGGCATTTATCTATTGGACTAGGAGTAACCACAGGTTAAAGAGCGAACACTGTGTACACTATACATTACTGTACAACAGTGTACAACATTATAGTTTGTTTAACATTATAGTTTCGACCCAATTCAGTTGGCGATGTACCATCAGGTTTTCTACATTAAAATCCATCGCAATTTCAACGTCACTTATTCATTCTCCTGTAGCTGTTAAATTTGTATCACCCGCAAATAATCGGCTAATTGGTTTTATTATAGGCAATCAATGAGGTAATCATTGATATGCAGTAAAACGAGTAATTGCACTTATACCGAATTGACAAACACTACGTACATGCAGTACCTCAAATTTGATTAAACAAGACGCCTGCTCAAGGCGTTGGGAAGGGCAGCAACAGAATTGCTTGGGGTAAAGGCCGGCGCACACTAGAGCTATGTGCTTAGCAAAATGTCATTCGTGACTGTTGGCGTAACGAGATAGCTCTCGTGTGCGGGCGATTTACGAACGACTTTTGTCATTCGTGCCACTTACGCCAAATATCTAACATGTTTGATAATTTCTGCCTCGCGTGCCAAAATCTTTCCGTGTGCGGCGAACGAAAGCTATCTGCTTACGGATTGTCGTAACAGCGCATGCGTAGTATACGAAAGTAAACATCCAAGATGGCGGCGCAAAATGAATTGCTGGCCGAGGCAATTTTAGAGGACAAACTTGTCGAACTTTGGCCTGAATATAAATGTTTATACGATGTGAATTCTGCAGATTTTAGAAATAGGGACAAAAGGGAATGTGCGGTGAAAGAAATAGTCAGTAAGTTTGTCCTCTAAAATTGCCTCGGCCAGTAATTCATTTTGCGCCGCCATCTTGGATGTTTACTTTCGTATACTACGCATGCGCTGTTACGACAATCCGTAAGCAGATAGCTATCGTTCGCCGCACACGGAAAGATTTTGGCACGCGAGGCAGAAATTATCAAACTTGGCACGAATGACAAAAGTCGTTCGTAAATCGCCCGCACACGAGAGCTATCTCCTTACGCCAACAGTCACGAATGACATTTTGCTAAGCACATAGCTCTAGTGTGCGCCGGCCTTTAGAAAGAGTTAAAATATCAAAAGCGCCAGGCCCTGATAGTATACCTAATTGGCTACTAAAAAAATTCTCG